GCATGCTTTTTTTTTTTTTTTTTTTTTGTCTGAAGCGATTCTGGGTTGATTTCATGCATTTCGTTACATCAACCCAAGACACTTACACTATGTTCATTATTGTTTGACTAGCCCTTTAGTCTTGGAAAATAAAACTGGTCGAGAAAACCGAACGTTTTCTCTCATAAAAAATATAAACACACTTTTCTAGACCAATCTTGCACGCTGATTCCAAATCTGTTTTCAATTTTCTTCTAGCGCATTTAATTATCTAAATATGGATGGTGTTAATTTCAGCACAACTTAGGTAATAGTCACAACGATACAACTGTATTCATTTTTCAGTATAATTCCCATAGACGTTATACAAACCATACACTTGGTTAAATTTATACAGCACACACATATGAAAAAAAAGAAATGTACAACAACTTAAATACGTTGCGAGTACGATTTTCTTTTGTAGATTTTGTCCAGATTGATCGTTCTCATCACTAATACTTGACGTGCTAGAGGAAAATTAAAAACAGATTTGGAATCATCGTCCCAAAAGCTATCTAGTCCACTTATAATTATGTGTGATGAAAATAACTTTTTGGCCAGTGTAATATGCAGATCCAAATATTATTAATATTGCACGTATTATCAAGTAGATTACAAGCTATTGGAAAGTATATTACCTCTAAAGATGGTAACATGTGACAAATAACCAGAAGCAACAGGGGTACTTGGTGACACTCTCGTTATGAGCTGAGTTGTGTGAAATTAACTGTGGAAATCTGATTGAGTACAAGAATGGTAGGAGGGTATCTTTTATGTTTACTAATAGCTGTTCTTTCTTATTTGCCTCCGATGTTGCATACTCTCAAGAATATATACCTATTTACCACTAAAATGAAGTAGGTAACTGCCTCAGCTAAGTAGGCGTAGGTTTAATTCATTGGCTCTTGATTAGTATGTATGGTAAAATTTGCGAGAGATAAAATAAGGATCTAATGTCTGTGGTCGCTAGATGCTCGCGTTGCAAGCGCTAAATCCAGCGTTTGCTACTGTACTTGGTGTTCATCACTTTTTGGAGTTACGTTTTAGTGCCGAAATACAGATTATTTTGAAAGCCATATCATTTTTGACAGTCATCTTTTTAAAACCGTATACATTGATCTTTCCTCTTCTCAGTCATACCACCAAAAACAAAAAAGTACTTCCCCTGTTGTGTTATTATTGCTGGACAAAGATTGGGTACTGAAAGTTTTGACATTTTCTGGAAATTTCACGTATCTCTAGAATCAAAAGTAGCCAAAGATAGTAAATGAAATTTTGTATACTTGTTTTAAGTGTACATAATGTTCAGGATAAAGCACAATATTTGTCATTTTTAATTACAGAAAAGAGTAATAAGCATGCAATTTTTTATTAGAATATCGTTGATAAAATATATAAAAAGATACATATTACACTGGATCTACTATTTTTCCACTAAAAATAGCTAAACAAATCCGTTATATTAATTTTAGTGTTTAAAATAATCGCATTTTGGTTAATAAGTGGGCCTATCTATTTGTAGAACCTAATTTTCAGATAACTTATATAACTTTACATTGCATTCCTGCCTATTAAGTATATAAAAACATTACATCTGCGTTTTCTGCGTCTCTATACTAGCGAGATCACTTAGGTTTTATTGGTTTTTATTTTCGTGTAATAACGTCACTCTAACTAGAACAGAGATTTTCCTAAGGATTTTTTTTCAACTGCACAATTATATTTTCACTTCATTTTTTAATACACGACGCCTTATTGCACCTCATATATACAGGTCTAGTAACAAATGATATACTATTTTCACTTTACTATCCAAAGGTAACTACCTAATGGTATACTACTTTCACTGTACTATCCAATGGTAACTACCTAATGGTATACTACTTTAACTGTACTATCTAATGGTAACTACCTAATGGTATACTACTTTAACCCTACTATCCAATGGTAACTACCTAATGGTATACTACTTTAACTGCACTATCCAATGGTATACTACTTTCACTGTACTATCCAATGGTAACTACCTAATGATATACTACATTAACTGCACTATCCAATGGTAACTACCTAATGATATACTATTTTCACTGTACTATCCAAAGGTAACTACCTAATGGTATACTACTTTCACTGTACTATCCAATGGTAACTACCTAATGGTATATTACTTTAACTGTACTATCTAATGGTAACTACCTAATAGTATACTACTTTAACTGTACTATCCAATGGCAACTACCTAATGGTATACTACTTTAACTTTACTATCCAATGGTAACTACCTAATGGTATACTACTTTAACCCTACTATCCAATGGTAACTACCTAATGGTATACTACTTTAACTGTACTATCCAATGGTAACTATCTAATGGTATACTACTTTAACTGTACTATCCAATGGTAACTACCTAATGATGTACTACTTTAACTGTACTATCCAATGGTAACTACCTAATGATATACTACTTTAACTGTACTATCCAATGCTAACTATCTAATGGTATACTACATTAACTGCACTATCCAATGGTAACTACCTAATGGTATACTACTTTAACTGTACTATCCAATGGTAACTACCTAATGGTATACTACTTTAACTGTACTATCTAATGGTATACTACTTTAACTGTACTATCTAATGGTAACTACCTAATAGTATACTACTTTAACTGTACTATCCAATGGTAACTACCTAATGGTATACTACTTTAACTGTATTATCCAATGGTAACTACCTAAGGGTATACTACTTTAACTCTACTATCCAATGGTAACTACCTAATGTAATACTACTTTCACTGTACTATCCAGTGGTAACTGTCTAATGGTATACTACTTTAGTTGTGCTGTCCAGTGATATACTACTTTAGCTGAGCTGTCTTTTAAAAACAAGTTTATAGTAGCTATAAAGTATAAAAGTATCATTGGCAAATCACCCAAGCTGTCACGAAATACCAAGCTTATAATAATTAATGAAAGTTACAGTAATCGATTTTTTATTCAAGTATAAATGATTGTTTCAACGGGCACTCGTAATTACGATTTATGGTAAACATTACCCACATATGTCTAAACTCGCGACAAGGAATAATTGCAAAATAACATAAAAAAAATAGTTACACTTCACATAAAACAGATACCAAACTGTTTATAGAATCATTAGGAGAATTCCACATCTGGTTGCCAGATATACTTACTTGTTCATTTGCCACAGTTGAGTCCCACTCTTCAATATGATGTCTTAGAGATTGACTCATTTATCAATGTCCTCCTTCCATTCATAGCCAACTTGTCCGAGTTAGTCTTAACGTGAAGCTTCTTTAGAATGTATACGTGTGAGTCAGGGTCGTAACCGTGGGGAGGGGTCGAATTACTACCCCAATATTTGGGGAAGGGTCGAATTACTACCCCAATATTATATAAATTCTAAAAGGTCCACTATCTTTTGATGTTTTTAATAAACACTCGACTTTCATGTAAAACACTTCGTTTCTTTCTGTGCAATAATAGGTCGATATTTCTTTGACAAAAGGCCCCCTCCTCACTATATATTGTTGGCTACGCCTCTGTTGGTAATATGTGCTTGACTTGGTAATTAGGTATTTATTTCCCACGAAGCACAATTGATTACGGATAAATGTATTAACACAAAAGGATACTTTTCTTGGTCTGCACAGATATACCACAGGTTAGCTGTGGACTTTCATATTAACATTACAAGAAGAAGGGGGGTAAATAACACTAAACAGTAGGGACATTGGGAAATTTAGAAAATGTTCTCTTAATCTAAAACTTATCCTACGTAATGAGATCTATGGGTAATGTCAGTTCTAGCCCCTAGCTGTCAGGGGTCTAAATGATATAGATGGTCTATCTTTTGTCACGAAGAGCTGACAGATAGACGTAGTTAATAAAAGTAGGCCTTAGTTTATGTGGTTTATGTTAATCTTATGACTGAATGTAAAGGTCAAGGTCACCTGAGATGGGATCTTCTTTTTACTGGCTTCGTGTGTGTGTGTCGACTGAAATTTGTAATGGCTTTTAGTTGCAGAAAGTCATGCATTTCTTAGAGTAGACTGCGATTTATGCCGTAGCAAATGCCCTTTTTTCGTGTTTCTGTTGCCCTAAACACAACGTTGTGATATATCACTTGCGAGTTTGTGTAAAAATAAATCATGTTTCACAGTACACTGCACGTACTTGTGGAATTTTTTTAAATATTCCAAAGTACATGGAGATCTGCTTGAAATGTTCATAGTCACTTGGGCAACTCTAATCGAATAGTGGGATTCACCTTCACTTTATAACGTCCCCTTAGTTGGGAGGACATCGAAATACCTGGAATAATTCCAAGATAATAAAATCAAATATATTAGTTTTAAAATTTGCATAAAATATTTGAACAATGTGAACCATTATCAAGTAATTTTAAATATCACTGTATTAAAGTTTAAGTTGTCTAACATTTTCACATACTACCGTAGGTTGAATATTTGGCAAAAAAATATTTTCTTTTTTTAAGTTTATATTTTGTTAGTAAGGTGTGATTGACTTTATTGTTCATATGTATTAGTAAATCAAGATTAGTCTTAATTACATATCTTAATCTATAAGATTTTGCCCCCAGTAGCTTAGCGGTAAGTTTGCAGGCTTACGCCGGTAAAATTTGGGTTTCGATACCCGTGGTGTGCAGTGTAAAGATAGCCCATTTTATACATTTTTGCTTAACATCATCATTCCTTTTTCATGCGTGTGAGTATGTTAATATTGCCATACGGTTATGATTTAGCTTTTGGAAATCTTGTCAACTGGGAATCTCGACTGTTCCAGAGGGCTTAAGCCTTTTATCAATGTGTAAGCAAAACATAAATTTTTTCATAAAACATAAAGGTATACTTAAAAAAAAGTCAACGCATGATCGTCAACTATTTATGGTGTTGTTGTTTATTTTTTCTTTTTTAACTTTACAGTCGAAAGAACGCTATCATTTTGAGAACTCAGCTGTCAGTCCGAGTACACGCCATAATAGGTAAGTCAAGAATCTCTTTGTACTTATTAGAAGTATTCGATATGATATACATTTCTAGTTACACTATAGCGCATGGTCTAAATACTACAGAATATGTTCCTGTAAGGTTTAATTCTAAAAAAAACACATACCTGTTAAAAGCAAAATATTAAAATTTTGTGTTGTTATTTAAAATTCATAAACGTTTGTTTGTTTCTTTATTTTAGAGCAAAACCATATTGGGATATCTGCTGTGTCTAACACGGGTAATCAAACCCGGAATTTTAGCATTGTCAGTCCCTAAACTTACCACTGTCTCACCAGGGGACAATTCGTTAAAGCTGGAAATTATAAATTTGTGTAAGATAAACTATATAAATTCCGTTCAAAGTGCCCCCCAGTGGGACAGTGGTAAGTCTGCGGACTTATAACAGCAGAAAACGGGTTTCGAAACCTGTGGTAGGAACAGCACAGATAGCCCATTGTGTAGCTTTGTGTTTAACTACAAACAAACAAGCAAATACTTCAAAGTTGGAATAATTTGTTACAATGTCCTTATAAAGTTTGTTATCGTTTATTCAAAAATTGCTGTATCCAGTGGAGGGAACCAATCTATGTTTTTTATATTTACATAATGTATTAAGGTATACCTTATCAGCTGTAAATTGACAATGGTAAATAATTATGAATGACGTTCATCAGCCTTTCTATTCGCTTCTCCATGTGCTGTTGCAAAAACCCAAATATAACTTCACATACTATGTTATTTTAAATACTAAGCTTTTCTTGAACCGTCAATCCCAAATTTGTCACCAAACTGTTTTGCACCAATCTTTTGGTTAATTGTTTTTGGGTATTGAAAGCTTATTGTGGAAAATAAATTGTAATTTATTTGATATATTATACAATTATTTTGTTGATTTACGTGCAAATCTACTCAAGGACCATCTGCGCTAGCCGTCCCATGGCCTGATAGTTAGGGCGCTCAACTCGCAATCTGCTGGTCGCGGGTTCGAATCCCCGTCCCACGAAATATGTTCGCCCATTTCAGCAGTGGGGGCGTTGTAATGTGACGATCAATCCAACTATTCGTTGGTAAAAT